AAGCCATGTGATATGGATACAGTTTATTTTTATTGTCATTTATGAAGCAAAGTTATTTTATGGATTAAGAGGTTACGCAACGTTATACAGTTTATACAACTTTATGTTAATAATAATTTTAAGGTTTGGCACAAACAAGACATGCATAAACTGGAAGGCTATGTTCAAAAGGTTCACACTTCATTGCCATTATATTTGCAGAAAAAAAATGATTGTTCTTCATAGAATGGCTAGTCACTGCGTGACACTATTTTTGCTTTCCACGCAATGCTGAGTTATAGAGTGTAATTTTCTTTGCTATTATTCCCAGTTGACAGTTTCTTTTGTTCTGTTTTATGTTGCTATTTTTTTTGTTATTATTAACAGTTCTGCACATGCAAAGCATTAGAAGAAAAGCAAAATAAACATATATATGGAAAAGCTTTAGCTTAATTTATTTAATCATCACTGCTAATTTTGTGTGCTGTACAAGTCTAATTATTTAACATTGCAAACCATTAGTCCCAATTTTAAGAGTGTTACAAAATTGCTATTGCTAGGTGTTGAAATACTGTAAGTCAATATTTCATCAACAGAATAACAAACACGTATTGCTGTTTTTATTGTTCATGATTAAGGAAAATACAGCATTGTTCCTATTTAGTTTCTAAGTAAAGAAAAAAATATGTAGAAAATAGTACAACCTCAATGGCTATGGTCAACTACTGTCCTAAAAATTAATTGCATGAGCTCAAGTATTTTTATATGGCAGTCAGTCAGTTTGCGGAGAAATTTCAGATACTAGACTTGGAGATTTATTTTGCACTGAAATGAAAATTTGGACGAATTAGGTGCGAATGTGTGTTTGACCAAATCCAACATATTTTAAGCCAAAATCAATAATGGACTAACCAACTCGCTCAATGCCAATCATGACTCTGTAGCTAAAACCTGTAGATTCCACCTTAAAAACATTGCCTGCATCCGCCCTTTTCTTACTCAAGATGCTGCCAAGGAACTGTTCATGCTCTAGCAATCTCTCACATGGATTACTCTAATTCTCTCCTAGTTGGTCATCCCAGAAGCTGAACTGCCCCGCTACAATCTGTAATGAATGTTACCACCAGGCTCATCTTGCACTCATGTTGCTCCTCTCACACCTCACCCCTCAGTCAATCCTTACACTGGCTTCCTGTACCCTACAGGTGTCAATTTAAAATATTAACCCTTACCTATAAAGCTCTAACAAACTCTAGCCCCTCTTACATTTCTTCACTGATTCAGAGGTATGTCCCCTCTCTGTCTCTCCGCTCCACTGATGACCTTCTCCTGTCTGCTGCTTACACCCTTACTGCAAATTCACACCTGCAAGACATGTCACGGGCAGCTCCTTTCCTTTGGAACAGCCTGCCTCCCCCTTTCAGACTCTCCCCTAGTCCTCAATACTTTAAGAAGTCCCTCAAAATCCATCTTTTCAGGATTGCTTATGGCCTCCAAGAGTAACTTCTATCTCTCAAACCTTCCTCTTGCTCTCTGCTGAAGGGCTACACTCCACTCTCACCTCCAGTTCTGCTACTTTCCCACCATGTCTATTTGCTATCTCCCTCAATACCCTTCCTGTTGTTTTTTTATACCCCACCTCCTCTAGACTGTAAGTTTGTTTGAGCAGGGTCCTCAACTACATATTGTTCCTGTTACATTTTGTTATTGTCTCATTTAGTAAATTCCCCTATTATTGTAAAATGCTGCGAAATAAGCTGACGCTATATAAATACTACTACTAATAATACAGGGAGTGCAGAATTATTAGGCAAATGAGTATTTTGACCACATCATCCTCTTTATGCATGTTGTCTTACTCCAAGCTGTATAGGCTCGAAAGCCTACTACCAATTAAGCATATTAGGTGATGTGCATCTCTGTAATGAGAAGGGGTGTGGTCTAATGACATCAACACCCTATATCAAGTGTGCATAATTATTAGGCAACTTCTTTTCCTTTGGAAAAATGGGTCAAAAGAAGGACTTGACAGGCTCAGAAAAGTCAAAAATAGTGAGATATCTTGCAGAGGGATGCAGCACTCTTAAAATTGCAAAGCTTCTGAAGCGTGATCATTGAACAATCAAGCGTTTCATTCAAAATAGTCAACAGGGTCGCAAGAAGCGTGTGGAAAAACCAAAGCGCAAAATAACTGCCCATGAACTGAGAAAAGTCAAGCGTGCAGCTGCCACGATGCCACTTGCCACCAGTTTAGCCATATTTCAGAGCTGCAACATCACTGGAGTGCCCAAAAGCACAAGGTGTGCAATACTCAGAGACATGGCCAAGGTAAGAAAGGCTGAAAGGCGACCACCACTGAACAAGACACACAAGCTGAAACGTCAAGACTGGGCCAAGAAATATCTCAAGACTGATTTTTCTAAGGTTTTATGGACTGATGAAATGAGAGTGAGTCTTGATGGGCCAAATGGATGGGCCCGTGGCTGGATTGGTAAAGGGCAGAGAGCTCCAGTCCGACTCAGGCGCCAGCAAGGTGGAGGTGCAGTACTGGTTTGGGCTGATATCATCAAAGATGAGCTGTGGGGCCTTTTCGGGTTGAGGATGGAGTCAAGCTCAACTCCCAGTCCTACTGCCAGTTCCTGGAAGACACCTTCTTCAAACAGTGGTACAGGAAGAAGTCTGCATCTTTCAAGAAAA